CCAGTACCCAAGTAGTCCATCAAAATCATATATATCTTGCTATATTGCATAAATGCCAAAATCTTTTGTAATCCGAAGATACTGGATAATATGTTAAACACTATTTCAATATTTCATTATATGATGAGCACTAAATGTTGCTAGCCATTTAATCACAAATACAATAACAGGCTTGTTGCGATTATAGAACTTCTGGTCCTAAATTGGTGCTCCAACGACAATGACGTAATGGTCTTTTGGTCCCAAGATATCCTCATTATCCTCATCAAGCTCTTTATGCATTTCAAACTTATTTATACAATCAACATAGATCAACTGGATTATAAATAAATAACTTCATTAGCAACTCTTTAATGAGCACATAATGACACATATTATTTACATATTCCTTCTTCAGGTGGAAAAATACTCAGTCAATCATAACCGTTTCAAGTCATACAAAGACCTTTGTAATTCAATGATATACACGTTGCGATTTTCATCTCCCTCATTTTGAGAACTTTAAATCCATCAAGGGCTTTTCCAAATAAATATTAGCGACTAATGACCCATTAGTATTTGGTCATGATGTTTATAAACTGCATATCTATATTTATCACACCCAGGGCCGTATTTTAAATTTTTGTAGCCCTGTTTTGGTAAATAAATGTGGCCCTACCAAAATCACAATTTTTATGTTTCGAACCTTTGACCTCCAAGTTAAAATACAATAAATACACATTTTTACCATCACTTTATAGAATCTCTTAAATTTAATTGAAAACTTTTAATTTTTATTTCTAAACTAGCTAAGTAAAAATTAAATATTGGGACCCTAAAATTTGGGGCCCCTCTAAAATTGGGGGCCCTGTGCGGTAGCCCAGCTTGCACAGCCTAAAATCCGCCCCTGATCACACCAAATCATTATTCCTATTTCTCTTTCGTACAAACATCTATTTGTAACCTACAGGGTTAACATTTAATGGTGTACATGTTATAAAGAGAATACATTTATCTAGTGAGTCGAGTTATGACTTAATTGCTCCTTTATATATTAAATTGTTAAGACACTTCTGGTGCCTATCTCTGGATCCAGATTGTCATATGATGTGAGCAAGTGAAAGCTAATTATGTTGTCGATAACTATAGTATTTGTATTATAAAATTTCTCCTTATTCATAAAATTCATGGCATTTTCTAAATCAACCAAATTGTTGTCATTTCCCAAATATATTTAGATATGGTTGTTTCGCACCCTCAGTATTATGATTATTTGGTGCACCTATAGATTTATTGGGTCTTTTGCCTTCTGGACAAACATTTCCAGAACATAATTCTATAACAGATTTCAAGAGTGACAAACTTAAGTTTCTTTAATAGATTTAGCTTTCTGCAAATTTTTAGTTTCTACTCCGATAGATATCATACACTTTTGATGTCAATGAATATCGGTAGATATATTTGATCCAATTTGGGGATGGTATATGGGATCTAGTCATTCTGTTATGATTAGTATTATCAATAGATATTATTTGCTAAAGTTGAAAATTGATTATATTTTGAACTTCCATTTCAGTCTAACTAGTATGTGGTTCAAAATATTGAAGATCATTTCATTCCATGAAATTTCTCAGCATTCTATTAAATTTGGGCTCTTATTTCCCCTAATGCCGAGAAACGACATTCATAAAGTATGCAGTCAGCGTACTTAATTATATATAGATCCCCCCTATCATGGGCTCTAGCTAGGTATTTAAGAAGCAGACATAGGTTTATAACCAAAATGTATACTAAGGAGGGTGTATTCAATCATGACTTTCATAGACTTTTAAAGACTTTTATGAACTTTAAAAGTTTGAAGGTATTCAATTCAAACTTTTAGGGAGTCTTTAAAAGTCAGACGGTATTCAATCAAGATTTTTAAAGAGTCTTTAAAAGTCGGGTGATATATATTCGATTAAGACTTTTAAAAAGTCTTTAAAAGTCATGTGGTATTCAAAAAGTTATGAACTTTTGTAGACTTTTTCTTCTCAAATATAAATAGTTAAAATCCAACCATCAACCCCAAGATTTCAAAATTTTCTTCCTACTAACTTTGACTATTTTCTCTCTCTATTTAAACTCTAATTTTTTTTCTCCCTATTTAAACTTTATAAACCTTATACCTAAATTCAATAATTTATTTTTTTTCTTCATTATCCTATATTTCTTCATACCTAAACTGTACCAATTTTTTATCTCTCCTAAACTTTACAATCTTCCTCTAAAAATTCGAAATAATAGTATTTTTACTTCATTATTGCTTGTTTATTTGTTTTTATTTTTATTTTTTTCTACTAACTTTTTATTTCTAACTTCTAAACTTTCTCCATGAACTTTTCTCCGTAACTTCTAAACTTTCTCTAATTCTCCCTAAATACATGAACATAACAAATTTTTCATCTATCACCGTCAAATTTTACTATGTGTTTCATAATATTCATATAAATACTTATATATCTTGATTTTTATTCTTTTTATGTTTATATTCGTAATATATTTTCTTTAACAACAGGTTACTATGAATAGCGAACTACTGTTTGCAACAGCAATTTGGGGCTGCAAATAGTAGCAAATTGAAGAATTTTATGATATATTATAACATGTTTTGTAAGAAAATTATATAAGTGGTAAGAATCAAAATCATTGAAAGTATGTAAGGATATAATCAATTTAGAATTTCAATGATTTGTGTAGACTTTTTAAAATAAAAAAGTTGATAAAAGTTTATAAATGTTTTTTGTAGACTTTTATAGAGTCTTACAAAGTTTTAAAAAGTTTTGAACGATTCTATAAAAGTCAATCGAAATTTATTAAATTCTATCATTTTAAAAGTCTTTAAAAGTCAACAAAAGTCATGAGTGAATACACCCCCCTTAGTTTCTTTGATATCCTTAGAAGTACACTATGGTGGTGACGTATGAATATAGATTGCATACTAATACTAAAACATAGATTGGAAATGCTTGAATATAAACCACGTACTAGGTGTTATAAAAAATAATTGTGATATGCAGTAGGTCAGATTTGGACAAAAAATAACAGTATGTCAAAATTGGATGTCCTCAAAACAAAAACAGATAATTTTCCCAACAAGATGTCCAACAAGTTTAGTACAAATTTGACTCATTATGTGTGCCTAATGTGACCCAACTGCTCAAGCTCGTCATAATTTAAAATAATTAGGTCATTAAATTTTAGAAATTATCGCAACACGATGAGTACTTAAAAGTATATACAATTCACCACAAGTGACATATAAAATTAGATAGTGCAAACACACACACATTAAACAAAAGTTATTAGAACACTCAACAAATTTTACAGAGATTAAATGCGAAATGGATATATAGATGGTGAGACCATTCAGGATTTCTAAAATCCATTTTTCTCTATTTATGAAGGGTAATCATCATCAAGTATTCACAACTTGCTTCCTTTAGGCAAACTAGCATGATGTGATCCACTTCTGACTTTCAAGCGCATAGCATTTTTGGCAAAGTAGCATAGCACTAAAGATAGAAGTTGTAGACCTCATTCATGATTCAAGAGTCATTAGTCACCCAAAGAGTAATATCCATTTTAGACGACCTTTTAGATCTTATTGGAAAAATATTCCAATGACCAAGCACATTATCAAGCAAGGGAATACTCAATAACTTAGGCATAACACTTAGTAAAATTTTGTCATGTATTACTACTAAAGTACAATGTAATCTGACTATCATAGAACACAATGAGACTCACACTATATTTAGTATGATTTTTTCATGTAGAAGACTTCTGGAGTCTTGTATTAATCTTGTTTTTCTATAGTTCTAATATAGTTTCACTTGTAAAACAATAATACTATATTATATTGGTCATATTTAGAGACGAATTCAACATTATGAACTTTCATATTTAGTTAATAGAATGGTAGAATAGAGTGGTCCTATCTTCATGCAAGTATGGAGTGTATGGGTTTTGAGAATTCTTGGATTGAGCTTATTATGCTATGTGTATAAGGTTAATATGAATGGTTTTATTACTGATCATATCATCCCCATGCGAGGTTTGCGGCAGGGAGACCTTCTTTCTCCCTACCTATTCATTTTATGTGCTAAGGGATTATCTCATTTATTAACCCAAGCACTCAGGAAGGGCAAAGCATCTCCTTGCGTTGTGGCACGGAGCTCCAGGTATATCCCACCTCTTCTTCGTAGATGACAGTTTACTATTTTTTAAATCATTGGTGTCGGAAGCTTTGGTGATAAGAATGTCTGCATGATTATGAGCATATGTCGGGAAAAACGGTCAATTTTTCGAATTCATGTATTGTTTTTAGTAGGAATATGGAGATGGAATGTCAAACAGCGATTTCGAGTATTTTTTTTTTGTGTTAATAGAACAAACAGAAAATACTTGGGCTTACCTTTGGGTATTGGTAAAAACCGAAGAGAGGTATTTGCGTTCATTGAGTCCAAGATGAAACAACGGCTAGGAGGTTGGTGTGAAAAGATATTATCTCGGGCTGGGAAAGAGGTGTTACTTAAGAGTGTAGCACAGTCCTTACCTACTTATATCATGAGTTTATACTACCTCCCGACAATTTTTTGTGAGCACCTAGAATGAATGATGAATACGTTTTGGTGGTAATCGAAGCAAGATGGAGGAGGTGTTAAATGGCTTGCTTGGAACCGTATGGCAGTCCCGAAAACTGAAGGAGGGTTGGGCTTTAAAAATCTTTCTAAGATTAATATTACTAGACAATACCAGCTCAGCAGGCAGCAACCAAATCAAGTCAGGGGTAGATCAGGCTTTTGCTATCTTGTTTTCAGCTGCAATGATTATAACGGCTTTTTCCGCCTCTTCCTGCTGTATATACTTCACCATCTTGTGATTAGGTGGTTAATAATTCAGTTCTCCTTTTTCCCTTTTCCTTTCCAAAATGTTTCACGCAAGTTCTTCCCTCACCTGAGCTCTCTGAACCTAGCCTCAACATGGTATCAGAGCGGCAAAGAGCAACCTATGCCGCGGCGGTGACCGGTACTGGAGAGTCCAGCCAAAGGTCACATCCTACCACGCCGACGTCGATCGTCCACACTCCGCCGATCGTCCAATCTCATTCTCCTGTTCACACATTTCAGGAAAACATTCCGCAGAGGAATGGCAGAACAGAAGATATAGAGAATCCTCTATACTTTAGCAGTAACGAGAGCTTTAACGCCATTCTCGTGAGTCCTCCTCTCACCGGCAGTAACAATTACGGCACATGGAGGATCGCGATGCGTGTTTCTCTAGAGGTTAAGAATAAATGGACCGTCGTTGAAGGAAGCACTGCCGCACCGGACCGATCGCACAACCGATATGCCGCATGGAGGAGATGCAACCTTATGATTTTCTCGTGGATTTACTCCGTTCATCCATCCATTGTACAAAGCATCATGTACATGGATAATGCCAAAGATGTCTGGAATGACCTGAAGAAACGATTTGCTCAGCAAGATCCACAACGGATCTCAAGCTTGCAGCACGAGATCTATTGTTTGAAGCAGGGAAGTCTTTCTGTGAGTGAATACTACACCAAATGCCGAGCTCTTTGGGAGCAGATGAACGAACTGAGGCCGCTTCCAATGTGTAGGTGCAATCCACGTTGTTCGTGCAATTTGCTCGAAGAAATCAGAACCGAGAGAGAAGTTGATCAGATCATCAAATTCCTCCAAGGTTTAAACGATGAGTACAATTCTCTTAAAACTAACGTGTTAGTTCTTGATCCGTTGCCAGATATCCACAGGATTTTTGTTATGGCTGAGAAGTACGAAAGATAGATAAGTGCTGCAAATCTCAATAGCTTAGACATAAGCCATGCTAATGCCATACAGACCACACAAGCAACGAATGAGGAGGTTGTGGCTGCAGTTAATTACTTTAATAGCAGGAAAAATATGAATAACAATGGTGCAAACAAGACTATTGCTAAATGTACGTTTTGCGGGATGAACGACCACACCGAGGAGAAGTGCTACAAAAAGCACGGCTATCCTCCCGGGTGGGTACATGGCTTCAAATCGAAGGGAAAGCAACAGGCACTGACAGCCTCTGCAAGCAGTGATAGCAGTAGTTCATCCGAACAAATTCAGAAGCTCATCTACTTATTACAGACACAAATGGGACATAACAACATCTCTACCTCTGCATCTGTTTCTCTCATCCCTGCATTCAATAAAGAGGAATCAAATGAAGGTACATGCCTGGACAATGCCTATGTTAATTCTGTTAATTTGGATTCTTCTAAGTGGATATTAGACTCGGGAGCTACTGATCATATAGCATGTTCACTAGACTTATATGATGATTACCATACTATAAGAGGGGCAGTAGTTAATTTACCAAATGGTAGACACATTACAGTGGAACACATTGGAAACATAAGGCTCAAAGAGGACTTGTGGCTAAGAAATATTCTGCACATACCAAGCTTTCAATTCAACATATTATCTGTCAATAAACTTCTCCAGGATTCATCTTATACTCTTGTTTTCACTTACTCCTGTTTTCACAACCGATCAGTGCCTACTTCGGGGGAAAGATGGGAAGATGACTGGTTTTGCTAAGGAAGAAAAGGGGGGGTTATACTTGCTGCTTGAATCACCAGGAAACTGTGGAAAATCATGCAACCATCTTGTTATGTCTTGTAGTATTGATGTTTGGCATCAACGGTTGCGACACTTCCCCATTAATAAAATGCAGCATTTACATAATTTCCCTGTGCCTAGTAATAAAAGCTTAGCATGTGAAGTCTGTCATCTTGCCAAACACAAAAGGTCTTCCTTTCTTACAAGTAATACTGTAACAAAGTTTTGTTTTGAACTACTACATGTAGACATTTGGGGCCCGTTTATGGTTCAATCGTTGGGGGGAGAACGATATTTTTTAACCATTGTAGACGATCATTCGAGGTATACGTGGCTGCATTTAATGAGAATAAAATCTGAAACGCAAGATTTGATTAAGAAGTTTCACAGATTTGTTCACACACAGTTTGGCTTACCAATTAAGATCATACGCAGTGACAATGGAGGGGGGGTTTAATATGATGAAGTTATTTGATGAAAATGGCATTATTCATCAGCGGTCTTGTGTGAATACGCCTCAACAAAATGCAGTGGTAGAACGAAAACACCAACATATATTGAATGTAGCAATGGCCCTTCGATTTCAAGCAGATCTCCCTTTGAATTTTTGGGGGCAGTGTGTTCTTCATGCTGCTTCCTTAATCAACCGGCTTCCATCTCTAGTTATTGAATGGCAGAGCCCGTACCAACGGTTGCATGGGAAGGCTCCAGACCTCAACAACATCAGAGTTTTTGGCTGCCTTTGCTTTGCCTCCACCCTACCTCACTCAAGACATAAGATGGCAGCAAGGAGCAGAAAAGGTATTTTTATTGGTTTTCCTGCAAATATCAAGGTTATTTGGTTTATGATGTTCATGAAGAGGTGGTTTTTCCTTCCCGTGATGTGGTATTTTATGAAAGTCAATTTCCCTTTGGCAAGGAAAATCGAAAAATAGCTGAGAACTCTACATCAACATGTGAACCTTCACTGCCAATCATCCCAGTCTCCAACTGTGAAGAATTTGATTTTCAAGAATCAAATGCTAATGTAAATCCCCCTCAGACAGAGAGCAGCAAGTTTGATGATGAGGCAGCAGTTTCTGACAGTAACCAAATCCCAGCAAACTTCTTCAATGAGACAGTGCACACAGATAGCCCCCAAAACATGGTTCAGCCCGAATTGGAAGACAATGCTGCAGATTCGATGGATACCACAAGCTCAGCAACTAGGGAATGTCAGCCTGACCCTTCCATCTGCCTCAGACGATCAAGTAGGCAAAGGCACATCCCATGCAAATTACAAGATTATTATTGTGATGCAGTGGCAAAGAATAGGACAGCACCTCATGTTCTATCCAAGGTAGTCTCTTATGATGGCCTTACTTCTGATCATAAAGCTTTCTCAATGGTTGTTACTGTTATACATGAACCCAGGACCTATAATCAGGCCATCAAACATGCTTATTGGAGAGAGGCAATGAACGCCAGAAAATAACACTTGGGAGTTAACTGACCTTCCCCTGGGCAAGACACCTATCGGTTGCATGTGGGTGTATAAAACTAAGCTAAAAGCAGATGGCAAGGTGGAGAGGTACAAGGCAAGGCTCGTAGCCAAAGGCTACACACAACTTGGTGTAGACTACCTCGAAACCTTCTCACCGGTGGCAAGAATAACCACAATCCGGACCTTCTTAAGTGTTGCTGCTAGAGGCTGGCATATCCACCAAATGGATGTCAACAACGCCTTCTTGCACGGTGATTTAAATGAAGAGGTGTACATGGAATTACCACCCGGCTTCCAAGCTGAAAAACCAAACCAAGCTTGCAGATTATTGAGATCGTTGTATGGCCTAAAACAAGCAAGCAAGCAATGGAATTCAAAACTGAATATGGCATTACTAAGTCTTGGTTTTATTCAATCAAAGTCTGATCCATCTCTATTCACCAAAGGAGCTGGTATAAACTTCATCGCATTGTTAGTATATGTCGACAATATCATTGTATCCAGTGCACAAATACAATTGATTCAAGAACTCAAGGAATTCCTGGACACTACCTTCAAGATTAAAGACCTTGGCTGCTTGAGCTATTTTCTGGGCATCGAGGCAAAATATTCAGTTGAAGGATTAAACATATGCCAAAGGAAGTATGCGTTGGAAATACTTGATGAAGCCGACTTCCTTGGTTGCAAGCCTGTATGCACACCAATGGCACAAGGTTCAGCTTTAGTTCATGGTGATGGCACTGCAGTTGACAATCCCAGTAGCTACAGACGTCTGGTAGGGAGGCTGCTATACCTTACTGCCACGAGACCAGACATAGCCTTCGCCGTTCAACAACTAAGCCAGTTTGTTGATGCTCCCACGAATAAACACTTGGCAGCAGCTCATAGAGTCCTACGCTACATCAAAACATCTCCTGGCCAATGCATTTTCTATCCCTGAAATACAGCCCTGCAACTCCAAGTCTTCTCCGATTGAAAATCCATTACGGGTTACTATGTGTTTCTAGGAGGAGCATTGATCTCATGGAAAGCCAAAAAGCAAGCCACAGTTTCAAAGTCGTCTTCTGAAGCAGAATACCGTGCTTTGGCTTCCACCGAATGCGAAGTCCAGTGGCTCACCTATCTTCTTCATGATTTACAGGTCAAGATGGATAAACCAGCAACTATATTTTGTGACAATCAAATCCGCCATCGCCATAGCCGAGAATCCCGTGTTCCACGAACATACAAAGCACATTGATATTGATTGCCACATCGCCCGTGAAAAACTATCTCAAAAGTTGATCAAGCTTCTATCGGTCTCTTCTTCAAATCAGATAGCCGATGGGTTTACTAAAGCTCTCTCTGCTCTAATATTTTAGAATTTCAAGTATAAGCTGGGTATGCAAGACTTGCACACGCCAGCTTACGGGGGGTATTAGACAATACCAGCTCAGCAGGCAGCAACCAAATCAATTCAGGGGTAGATTAGGCTTTTGCTATCTTGTTTTCAGCTGTAACGACTGTAACGGCTTTTGCCGCCTCTTCCTAATGTATATACTTCACCATCTTGTGATTAGGTGGTTAATAATTCAGTTATCCTTTTTCCCTTTTCCTCTCCAAAATGTTTACGCAAGTTCTTCCCTCACCTGAGCTCTCTGAACCTAGCCTCAACAAATATTGCCTTTCTAGCTAAACAAGGATGGAGAATGATAGATAAACCGATGTCTATTGTTGCAAGGCTTTATCAAGCTAGATATTTTAATGGCAAGTCTTTTTTGGAGGCAACTCTTGGTACTAATCCTAGCTATTGTTGGCGGTCAATTCTTGCAGGCCAAGCTGTTCTAGAAAGGGGATATTTTCGTCGAATTGGAGATGGGCGCACCACTAAAATCTGGGGCCAACTTTGGTTACCAGATAAAGAAAATCCATACATTCAAACTCCAGTATCATTTATGCATGGTGAAGCAGTTGTTGAGGCATTGATTGATCCAAGCTCTAATGACTGAGATGTGAATTGAATCTCCTTCGAGAGTTGTTTATCCAGAGGGATGTTGATCTTATTCTATCACTGCCGGTTACAAATGATGTGGCGGACAAGCGGTGTTGGCATGGTGACATAAGGGGAATATTTTCAGTACGCCATGGTTATCGACTATTGATGGAAAATAACTCGCTGTCTCCCACTCCTTTCAAGGCTTGGAGTAAACTATGGCAGTTGAAGCGGCCTCCCAAGGTTGTAAACTTCGTTTGGCGTTGTGCACGTTCAATTCTTCCGACTGTTGTTTCTTTGGCTTTTAGAGGTATTGACGTTGATATTCAGTGTCCACTTTGTCGAAGAAGTCCTGAAACTCTGAAACATGCTCTCCTTGACTGTCCCGAAGTCTCCGAAGTATAGCGAGGAATATTAGATCCTACGATTCATGCAGATGATATTTTTTAGGATTGGTTCTCCAGTCTTTTCATGCAGGATGATAGTATGAAGCTTATGAAGTGTAAGGCAGTCTGTTGGAGCCTGTGGAGGCGACGAAATGACTGAGTGTGGAACCAGAAATGCTGAACAATTGAAAGCATAAAAGCAGGGCCCATTTTTTGAATTTTGTAGTCTGGTTCTTATAAATAAATGAAGCTCTATCAAAAGTATAAAGTGTAATCTTTAAAACTAATACCCTAAAATATATGGTTATTCTTTTCAGAATGGTTTTTTCATATTCAATTAATTAGGTCCTAATTATTAATTAGGATAGAGAAGTGATTTGGGAAAAAACTAATGAGTTTTAAGATTAATTATAATTTTTTTTTATTTCTTAAGTAGCTTGGTCAAAAATAAATATTATTGAGGCCCTCTAAATATTGAGGCCCTGTGTTGTTGCTCATCTTGTACGCCCTAAAATCCAGCCATGCATAAAAGTGATGGTAAATGACTGTATGATGGAGTGGCAAGCCTATAATGAAGCACCTATGAGCCCAGTGAACATTCCGCCTGCTTTGAACCTCCCTGAAGGCTGAAGCTATCCCAGTTTCGACGATGATTGTGGAACTCGATGCATCCATTCCTCGTAACATTGAGACCAGTTATTATGGTATTATGGTTCTAAGTAATACTGGTTTTTTTGTGGCTGCGAAGAATTGTCCGGTTCGTTGTCTGAATAACCCCCATCTAGCGGAGGTTATGGCTGTGAAAGAAGCACTTTCCTGAATTCTTGAACAAGGCTGGCGAAGGGTGGTAGTTCATTCGGACTGTCAGATGATATGCAGATTCCTTAATCATGATTTACCGGATTATTCTTATGCTGGTTGTGTATTATTAAATCAATGTCGGTCTCTAAAAAGACACTTTGAAATAGTGTCTATCAAGTATGTTCCTTGATCAGTGACTAAGCTCGATCATGCATTAGCAAAGGCTGCAAGTTCTCAATAACATGGTCATTCTAGTTGTTTTTCATATATTTCGCATGAACATTTAATGTCTTAATTTGAATAAAGGTTGATTGCTTTCAAAAAAAAAAATATTGAATATAGCAATCATTCAGGGATTGATATAGGATCTATGGATCCTTTTCGATCAAATACTCATAATCGGGGGCTTGAGCCAAGGGGTGATAGATAAAAATGAGTGCCCTTAGTTTACTTTTAAATACTCAATTTGAGATTTATTTTACTGTGGAAGACTCATTTATAATAAAAATTAGCACCATAAATAAATTTCAATTTGGACAAATAACAATTAACTTTTAAATCAATACCAAATCAATTTTACATGGGAGTTATTGTCTTAGTATTGTTATCTTATAATTAGTGCTATAAATTTCGCCTTCTAGACAATACTATATTTATAATTTAGCCTGCAACTTCATTTATAAGATGTGAAATTATTGACATTATATTTTGCCTTCTAGGCAAAACTCCTATTAAGATTTTATAATTTATGACAAATTTTTACTATCAAGAGTCAACAAATTTTCTTTTATAATAGTAGTTGACATTGCTACAAAACAAATTTGAGCAAATGAATATTCTCAAATTTGAGACAATATAATGGATGAGTATTATGCAACATACCAATTATATTACCTATATATCACTAATAATAATCCATTGACGTAATTATTATATGCAATAACATGAATTATCCGTAGTAGACAATTCCATCTTCCCTCTTGGATTCTTCTGGAATCATCTGAACCAACCCTAGGATGAAATACACACTTAGGACAGAACTGCTAGAAATTGTTTGAAGATCCCAAACTGACCTTCCAGTAGTGGTAACTTCAAATTGCTCGAGTATCAACATCTAAAGAAAAACGTGTAGTTGATCTTAATCGAAATAAAAAATTAAGAGTAGAAAAATAAAAGTGAATTTTGAAGGGTTACGTTTTTTGGGATCAGAAGATGTCGAGAATTTCGAGGATGAAATTGTTGCAGAGTGGACAAGTTTTCCCCTTCTCAGCCCAGAGCTCCCTTGAGCAGAGCCTGCAAAATGTGTGTCCACATGGATCGAATGCTTCCCCCTTGTGTCTAACCATACACACGCAGCAGTTACGGAATTCTCCTCCGTAATCCTCGCAACTGCCTCCGTCTTCCTCCTCCTCCTCCATCAATTGATCTCCCAAAAGCGCCATTAACGACATCCTCATCGGTTCATCTCCTTCTCCCTCCTCGCCTCCTTCGCTCTCCGCTTCTCCGCCTCTTCTGATCGACATCGAGCCCTGCAACTTCAAGCTCCGATTTCCCGTCCGGCTTTCGTTCCTCGTCAACGACATTCGATTCGACGGAGTTGACCTAAGCTCTCTTCTCGACGACGATGCCGTTAGCTCCGGCTTATATTCGCCCCCCGGATACTCCGCATCCGCGACCCGATTCGAATGCCTCCGGCTCATACTCCGGTTGTTCATCGGCACGTCCGAGGCGGGGACGGGGACGGTGGAAGTCCAGGCTGCGCCGCCGGACGGCTTCAGCCGGAGCTTCTCCTTGAAATGTTTCCATGTCTTCTTGTTATCCTTGCCATTCGAGTCGTCTTTTATCACATCCAGGAGAGTCCTGGTCTGCTGAGCATGAGACTGAGACTGAGACTGAGCCTGAGCCGGAGCCGGAGCCGGTGCTGGTGCCGGTGCCGGAGCTGGGGCTGGAGCTGGAGCAGGAGACGTCGCAGGCGCCTCATCTCCGCCCAATATAGCGAATAGCGTTAGACCGGCTAGATTGTCGCGACGGTTGTGATGAGCATCGGCGCCTTTGTCATCGGTTAACTGCTGCTTTTTCCTTCCTCCGCCTCCGTGCTTCATTCGCCTTTACTGTTCTGTGATCGACACTATTGTTAATTAGGTAAAATTAAGTGGAATTATTTCTCCGAATTGAATGTTTTGGATCTGCGTTTTCCTTTATTGTTTTGTTTTGGCTGTCTGTTTTGTTTGGTTAGAGATGAAGGAAAAGAAGGCAGCCATTGTCCGTGAGACGAGGGAGACTTGCTTAGCTGTGCTACAATGGAGCGAGTCAGACGGGATAGAAGTTTTCTGTTGGACATATATATTACTCCGTATAGCATTACAATAGATGAACATTCTTTTTACCACGTTATTTTTACTATTTAGAATCAATATCCATGGTTAATTGTTTATTACTACGTATTACTTTCCGTTTCTAGTGTTATATAATTATTAAAGGGAAAATGACATTTTTTTTCCTAAGTTATATACTTATAGCACTTTTTCTCCTTAAATTATTTAAGTGGCCCTTTTTCTGCCTGAAATGTTAAATGAACATATTTACCCTTAAAATAAATATTTTATTTATTTTTCTTCTCTAACAAATTATTACTATAATTTGGTTCAAACCAAAAAGATACTATAGCAACCAAACCAAAATATTCCAATTACAATTTAGAATCAAAACGCGATATTTAGAGTTTATTAAAATCGCGAAACGAAATGACCGGTTCATGTTCCAAACTGAAAAAATAAAATACATTTTTGTTGAATTTAGACTATTTTAAAATAAAAAATAAAATTTTAAAATTCAAAATCGTGAACCGGATCCGAAACCACCGGTTCACAGTTCAGGGTCCAGTTTTTTTGTTTCATAAATTTAATAAATAGAAATTCAAATATTGGGTTTTAGATCTGATTCGTAACCGGAAACTTTTAATTCGATTAGTATAGTGTCTAGTTCAGTTCGAACCAAACCGTAGTCATCGCTACATATACGCAATAATTTGTTGGAGAAGTAAAAATAAATAAAATGTTTATTTTAAGGGTAAAAATGTCAATTTAATATATCAGGGGGAAAAATCATCACTTTTAAAATAATTGAGGAGGCTAATGTGCTTACATAAATAATTAAGAGGAAAAAAGTGCTATAAGTATATAACTTAGGGGGAAAAAGTGTCATTTTTCCATTATTAAATTTAGTTATTATTCTTTTTTTGAGGTTATTTTGTTATTTAGAATTAATTAATATTTATGATTAAAGTTATATTTTCAACACATGATCTTCATTTTAAACAGTGAATATAATATTAATTTTTTAAATGATCAAAATACCTGCATATGTTAATGAAATTTGGAAAACGACACTTTTGGCTCATGAATTGTTTCAATTTTGAAATTTTGGTATCTATAAGTTAATTTAAACAAATTTAGCTTCTTAATTGTCCAATGTTATACTTTTAGTGCCTATTGTTATATAATAATCAAACTCAATTAACATATGAGTTTAATTTTTTCATTTAGAATCAATTTGCACAGTTACAAATGACGTTCACATGGAAAAAATAAAACTTTAACTATGGATGTTGATTCTAAAACATAATCTCATAAAAAAAGAGTTTGGTAATTATATAATATTAGGGGCTAAAAGTCAATATAATGGACAATTAAGGGACTAAATCTGGTTAAATCAATTAAAAGGGACCAAAATTTTAAAAGTGAAACAATTCACAAGGAAAAAGTATTGTTTTCCTTATTGCAGTTTAAAAATTATATAACACTACGGACTAAAAGTGCAACATTATAAATAATTAAGGAGCTAAATTTGTTTAAACTCCTGAACAAAACTTAACATGTGACATTTTAACACTTAAGGTGCGTTGTTATAATACTTAAGGTGCGTGTTTCTATCACTTAATATGTGCCATTTTTAACTCATTTCTTCCAGACACACATTTTTTTTTTAATTTTCATTGATTTGAGCCGTTGATTTAGATTTTAATGTTTGAGGTGCGTCAACCGCACAACCACATGGGAAGCTTTTACCACACCTGAATCCTAATTTCATTTGGTGATTTTGGTCCTCCCTTTGTGTCTGCGAGTCGCCGGTCGTGAGCCGCCTCTGGCTTCACCCGTCACCACCGTCTAGTCGCCGCTTCACCTCAGGTTTGTAGTCTCAGACCATCAATTCTGGATCAAACTGTACTGTTTTTAAATCCATGTGCATCAATTCTTGATCAAACTTGTTGGAATAAGGACTACATGATGAAGCTATGGAGAGGAAGAGAGAATGGAAAATGCAGAGAGGTTTATCTATTATGTTACCCAGAAGCTAGTACAGATAGGAGATATATATATACATGGTGTAAGGTATGGAAACGGTTTAAACAAGCTAGTGTAAAGACTTTAGTGCCCCTTTCTCTAGTGAGTGTATATCATCCTCCAACACCCCCCCCCCCCCCCCCCCCCGTAAGCTGGAGCGTGTAGACCCTATACGCCCAGCTTAGATATAAAAGAACGAAATCGGTTAGCTGCATCACCATAAATGAGAGCCTCTATCCTTCAGCAGATTCAGATCCAGAACTCAGCTCATCCACTGCAGCTTTTTGTAGATCAGATTCATGCCACTTGCAAATCATTCACATCATCTAATCTCATCAATCATCTCAACAAATTTCAATCCCAGAAAATCAGCAACATCAAGACTCATCAGATTGCTTTCACCTTGCTTTTGTCTTCCAGCTATTCAAAATTCCCATTCATCATGAGGCAATAGCTCAGAGCATCACAGCTGCTACATCATATACTTCTATCAGCTCAGCAAATTTTGCAAAGGACAACTCAAGCCAAAGGTCCACCTAGTTAGGTGAACCCTTCCTTTTCAAGACATGGGGACTCATTTCTTAGCACAGGATCATCCCCATGGTAGCTCTAAATAAACCATCCAACAAAACTCAATCACACATCATCTCTACTCTTCTGTTCAGATCAGTACTCTTCAGAGCCAGAACAGATCCTTAGCATATCAAAAGAGACATAAGGCATCTTTTCCCATTGTGAGATCAACCCTATGGCAGCACTTTCCTCCACCACATAGGCTTTAGAGAGTGCTGCAGCTCTTACCAACCTTCCAATCAGCACATCATTTACAACAAATTCCAAACTATTTCATGTTGATCCATCCCTTCCAGAGATCCACCAAGCATGTGCTCAAAGGCTTTCTTCTTCGTACAACTCCATAGCCTGAACAACAATTGGAGCAGTTTTCTAAAACCTTCACTGAAGAGTGACAGTGGAATTTCTTTCCATAATCTACAGACAAACGCTCCAGAAGCAAGGATCCTAAACCAGAACCAACTGATGTGTCACTAGACATCATGCCGTCGGGTTGAATGTCATGCTCAAGGCAATAGAGCTCCCAGCAGGCATTGCCGACCTGAATTCCGGCCTGGCCGATATGTACGCTGATGATCTCTCTCATCTTTCTCTCTCTCTCTTTCTGCTGAGTCCAAATTTGCAGACGAATCGAGAGAGATTTGGATGCTGGATTTTCCAGATCTTCTGGATTATATTTTCTCTACGTGAACAGGTTTTGATGCGGAACGACTATGGATGCCTTAAGCTCTGCCTCCAGCAATGCCTCTAGTCATCTCTTCAGTGCAGAAACGGCGTCCTTGAGCTCTGCCTCCAGCAACGCCGCTTCCTCCGGTGCAAGTCCGGCTCGCACCAGGTTCTTCACCTGAACTGGAAATTGAATGATCAGTAGCGATGGACAGACTCCTTGGATCGTCTTCCGCTACGGATCGGCTACGGAAATCTGTTGCTCCGAACTCAGATTCCTCTACGGAATCATTGATGATGCTGATCTGAATGGTGATCGAGCGTCGGCTTTGTTGCTACTCTCCGTAGCAATAATCCTCTGCGGATTAATCGGAATCCTCTGCGGATTGATCGGCGATGCGCCATGCCCCAATGTTCATCTGTAGGTGAATGCATGAACTAACACAGGCGATTCACGGAGTAGGACAAATCTGGCTGTGTGATCGTCAAATACTACAGTGCCCCAACAATACGCCGGTAGTGCGTTGGGTTCTCATACGAGGTTGCTGTAGAGATAGCTGATGCCGTGATGGCCGCAGGTGTAGTGAGAGATTTACAGTCAAGCATCCCAGCACGGTTGAGTAAGTCTGTCATGTACCGTCGTTGAGAGAGAATGAACCCATTGTCTGTAGATATAGTTTCGATCCCCAAAAAGAAGCCAGGTCTTCCAAGATCACGGATCTTGAAGGTGGATACGAGAAGCTGTAGCAAGGTATTGATTAACACAGCATCATTCCCCATCATGATGATGTCATCGACATACACTAGCAGGAATACCCGAGATGTGCCTGACGTGTAGTGGAACAAAGAGACATCTGTCTTCGACGAGGCAAACCCTGCAAGAAGTAAGAAATCATGTAGCCTATTGAACCAAGCCCGTGGGGCCTGCTTCAACCCATATAGCGAGCGCTGCAGATGGCATACGTGATCCGGGTGTGCTGGATCTTCGTAACCAGGTGGCTGCTTCATGTACACAGTTTCGGCCAAGTGCCCATTTAGGAAGGCGTTATGAACGTCTAACTGGCGCATTGTCCAGTTGGATGATACAGCAAGAGAAAAAAGCAGCCGAACAATGGTCGGTTTAACCACCGGACTATAGGTGTCGAAGAAGTCCTCGCCTGCGACCTGGTTGAACCCTTTGGCCATCAGACGGGCTTTATAGCGCTCAACTGAGCCATCAGCTGTGCGCTTGGTGCGAAACACCCACTTGCAGCCAATAATGTTCATGTGTGGTTACGGTGCAACCAAACGCCAAGTTTTGTTGTGAAGAAGCGCATTGAACTCCTGATCCATGGCCTCTCGCCACTGTGGATGGCCTACAGCCTGGGAGTAACAAGTAGGATCAGTTGTTGTATGTAACGCTTGAAACTGTTCATCTGTGCCCCGAGTCTGATGACGAAGGCGCATCACATGGCCTCGGTCCTGGGGCTCGGTACGACGCCGTTTTGTCCTGGCACGAGGAGGTGCAGTGACAGCTAGAGGCATGGGTTCACGTGTCAAGGGCACGGGTTCAACCTCCGGTACCGGGATGATGCTAGACGGTGGGACCATCGGGGCAAGTCGTGGGACTATGGGCCCGGATACCCACGGTAGTGAAGCAAGCGGTGTAGACGAGGCGGGTGTCCGTGTGGCAAATGGAAACACCGTCTCGTCAAACCGCACGTGACGACAGATATAAACTTTCCCAGTCGAACGGTCCATGCACCTATATCCCCTAAAGGACAGGGGGTAACCTAGAAAGACACAAGGTGCCGAGCGGCATTCTATCTTATGCCGATTGTAAGGCCTGAGATAGGGATAGCACTGACACCCGAAAATTCGAAGAAACGTGTATGGAGGAGACACTTTATGTAGACGAGAATAGGGGCTGTCAAAGTTTAACACTGGTGTGGGTAGGTAATTTATTAGACACGTGGTAGTTTCGAAGGCAAAGTCCCAATACTCAAGTGGTACAGGGCCTTCAGCAAGTAGAGCAAGACCCGTTTCGACAATATGCCTATTACGGCGCTCAACTCGCCCGTTTTGTTCATGTGTGTAGGCACATGACTGCCGATGATTGATGCCCAGTGTTTGGAATATAGTGTGTCTGTATTCACCCCCTAAATCTGATTGGATACACTTGATAGAGCGCGAAAATTGCCGCTCTACCAACACCCGAAACAATTCAAAGCTTTTATAAACGTCTGATTTTACCCGTAACGGATAAAACCAGCAGAACCGAGAATAGTCGTCTACAAATAGCAAAAAGTAGCGATGGCCACTAGTAGAAACTACAGGAGCCGAGCCCCATACATCAGTGAAAATTAAATCTAAAACATTGGTACTAGATTTATGAATTCTATCTAATTTAAACCGGGACGACTTGCCCAGGTGACAAGCCGTGCATGACTCCGAGGACTTTGGCTTATTTGGTGAAACTGGACAATCTTTTAGAATACGGTTCTGAATGACACCGTGCGGGTGACCTAGCCTTCAATGCCAAACGTCTTATGTGGCACGGGAACTGACGAATGCAAAATGGGTGTGAGACAACGGAAGCTTGTATAGTCCCCCAGAAGTTGGTCCCTTAAGCAGAGTTGCCCTGGTTTTGGAATCCTTCACAATAAAACAGTCGTTATGAAACTCAAAATAAACGCTGTTTTCTTTAGTAAATTTATGAACAGAAAGTAAAGGGACCGACAAACGTGGAACATGTAACACATTGGACAAACTTAAAGATTTTGACATGGACGGGATCGATACATGACCGACACGTGAGATAGTCAAACCTGCGCCGTTCCCGACTCGTAGCACATCGGGTCCGTTGTACTCATCCGAACGGGACATCATGCTTGCATCCGGCGTGGCGTGCGCGGTGGCACCGGTGTCAAGGTACCACCCGTCTGCCGATGTAGCCGATGGTGTCGCCGGGAGATCGCCGGCAGTGGCAACATGCGCTTCTGCCGGCGGCTGCGTCGTATACCGCTTAAAGCAGTATATTGTCGTGTGGCCTTGAGCACGGCAAATTTGGCACCTTGGAGCGCCACGGCCATTCCGGCCACCTCTGTCACGGCCGTTGCGGCCATTACCACCTCGACCGCCCCACCACTGCTGCCCAGTGCCGGAGCCTCTTCCGCCATCACCGCTCGAACCACGACCGCGCCCTACGTACATGGCCGTGGGGTGACCACCATTGCCGTCGCCAACTGCAGAGTACTCATCAGAAATGATGAACTCTTGTGCCTGAAGGAAGTCAGCCAGTTGCGAGAGTGAGACGGCGTTGTTGGTGGCAGTGAGCGATGCTGCCATAATCCACAAATCTTGACGCAGACCTCGTAGCACATACAGGTTCTGCTCGGTGGAGGAGAGCGGCCGGCCGGCTTGAGCCAAAGCTTCCACGAGAACCTCGGCACGTCCTAAATATTCAGCTGTAGATGAAATCCCTTGCCTCAACGACTGGAATTGGCCTAGGAGGCTGACGCAGCGAGCTTGCGTAGAGGATCCTAGGGACGTTGTGATCGACGTCCACACCTCTGCGGCTGTCTCCCGTCCGACTGCTAGGTGGAGCACTTCATCGAACATGGAGGAGATCAGCATGGATAGAATCGACTAGTCCTGTAAGACCCAGGCTTTGTGCGCTGGGTTGGGAACGACCGCGGCTGTCGTCGTCGCACTGGAGCCCGAGTCGCCGGACGAGGCAGCGGCAATTGTTGCTGGTGGACACGGTGTTGAGCCGTCGACGTATCCTAGCAAGTCCTGCCCCCGGAGGAAGGGGACGAGCTGAGTTCGCCAAAAGAGAAAATTCCTACTGTTTAGCTTCATGAAGACGTGGTGGTGTGCGCCGGAGAGAGGATTGGTGTTCGCCGGCGAAGGAGAGCCACGGGCGGTCACCGTGCACTCGGATGAGTGCGAAGACATGGTGGTGGGACTGGATTTTCGATGGCGTTTAGGGTGGAGAGAGAAAATGGATCGTAATCCTATCTGATACCATATGAGAGTTTGAATTCAGTGAATCACTTACAACCAACTGAGATTACATCAGATAAAAGATAACCAACGAGAAACTCTCCTATCTAACAGAGAGCTCAAGTCAATTAAACCTAAACCACATAAATAAAGACTATAGAATATAAAGAATAATAACACTTATTAACAATCCCCATGGCAGCTCTGAATAAACCATCCAACAAAACTCAATCACACTTCATCTCTACTCTTCTGTTCAGATCAGTACTCTTCAGAGCCAGAACAGATCCTTAGCATATCAAAAGAGACATAAGGCATCTTTTCCCATTGTGAGATCAACCCTATGGCAGCACTTTCCTCCACCACATAGGCTTTAGAGAGTGATGCAGCTCTTACCAACCTTCCAATCAGCACATCATTTACAACAAATTCCAAACTGTTTCATGTTGATCCATCCCTTCCAGAGATCCACCAAGCATGTGCTCAAAGGCTTTCTTCTTCGTACAACTCCATAGCCTGAACAACAATTGGAGTAGTTTTCTAAAACCTTAACTAAAGAGTGACTGCGGGATTTCTTTCCATAATCTACAGACAAACGCTCCAGAAGCAAGGATCCTAAACCAGAACCAACTGATGTGTCACTAGACATCATGCCGTCGGGTTGAATGTCATGCTCAAGGCAATAGAGCTCCCAGCAGGCATTGCCGACCTGAATTCCGGCCTGGCCGATATGTACGCTGATGATCTCTCTCATCTTTCTCTCTCTCTCTTTCTGCTGAGTCCGAATTTGCAGACGGATCGAGAGAGATTTGGATGCTGGATTTTCCAGATCTTCTGGATTATATTTTCTCTGCGTGAACAGGTTCTGATGCGGAACGACTATGGATTCCTTGAGCTCTGCCTCCAACAATGCCTCTACTCTTCTCTTCAGTGTAGAAACGGCGTCCTTGAGCTCTGCCTCCAGCAACGCCGCTTCCTCCTGCGCAAGTCCGGCTCGCACCAGGTTCTTCACCTGAACTGGAGATTGAATGATCAGTAGCGATGGACAGACTCCTTGGATCGTCTTCTGCTGCGGATCGGCTACGGAAATCTGTTGCTCCGAACTAAGATTCCTCTGCGGAATCATTGATGATGCTGATCTGACGGGTGATCGAGCGTCGGCTTTGTTGCTACTCTCCGTAGCAATAATCCTCTGCGGATTAATCGGAATCCTCTGCGGATTGATCGGAATCCTCTGCGGATTGATCGGCGATGCGCGGACTACGGTCTTCGGATGAACCTCTCTTTGATTCGGTTCTTCGGCGTCAATAGCAGCGGCGGCGTGGATGCCCCGCCGCACTGATACCATGTTGGAATAAGGACTATATGATGAAGCTATGGAGAGGAAGAGAGAATGGAAAATGCAGAGAGGTTTATCTATTATGTTACCCAGAAGCTAGTACAGATAGGAGATATATATACATGGTGTAAGGGATGGAAACGGTTTAAACAAGCTAGTGTAAAGACTTTAGTGCCCCTTTCTCTAGTGAGTGTATATCATCCTCCAACACCCCCCCCCCCCCCCCCCCCCCCCCACGTAAGCTGGAGCGTGTAGACCCTATACGCCCAGCTTAGATATAAAAGAACGAAATCGGTCAGCTGCATCACCACAAATGAGAGCCTCTATCCTTCAGCAGATTCAGATCCAGAACTCAGCTCATCCACTGCAGCTTTTTGTAGATCAGATTCATGCCACTTGCAAATCATTCACATCATCTAATCTCATCAATCATCTCAACAAATTTCAATCCCAGAAAATCAGCAACATCAAGACTCATCAGATTGCTTTCACCTTGATTTTGTCTTCCAGCTATTCAAAATTCCCATTCATCATGAGGCAACAGCTCAGAGCATCCCAGCTGCTACATCATATACTTCTATCAGCTCAATAAATTTTGCAAAGGACAACTCAAGCCAAAGGTCCACCTAGTTAGGTGAACCCTTCCTTTTCAAGACATGGGGGCTCATTTCTTAGCACAGGATCATCCCCATGGAAGCTCTAAATAAACCATCCAACAAAACTCAATCACACTTCATATCTACTCTTCTGTTCAGATCAGTACTCTTCAGAGCCAGAACAGATCCTTAGCAGAGCAAAATAGACATAAGGCATCTTTTCTCATTGTGAGATCAACCCTATGGCAGCACTTTCCTCCACCACATAGGCTTTAGAGAGTGCTGCTGCTCTTACCAACCTTCCAATCAGCACATCATTTACAACAAATTCCAAACTGTTTCATGTTGATCCATCCCTTCCAGAGATCCACCAAGCATGTGCTCAAAGGTTTTCTTCTTCGTACAACTCCATAGCCTGAACAACAATTGGAGCAGTTTTCTAAAACCTTCACTGAAGAGTGACTGCGGGATGTCTTTCCATAATCTACAGACAAACGCTCCAGAAGCAAAGTTCCTAAACCAGAACCAACTGATGTGTCACTAAACATCATGTCGTCGGGTTGAATGTCATGCTCAAGGCAATAGAGCTCCCAGCAGGCATTGCCGACCTGAATTCCGGCCTGGCCGATATGTACGCTGATGATCTCTCTCATCTTTCTCTCTCTCTCTTTCTGCTGAGTCCGAATTTGCAGACGGATCGAGAGAGATTTGGATGCTGGATTTTCCAGATCTTCTGGATTATATTTTCTCTGCGTGAACAGGTTCTGATGCGGAACGACTATGGATTCCTTGAGCTCTGTCTCCAACAATGCCTCTACTCTTCTCTTCAGTGTAGAAACGGCGTCCTTGAGCTCTGCATCCAGCAACGCCGCTTCCTCCTGCGCAAGTCTGGCTCGCACCAGGTTCTTCACCTGAACTGGAGATTGAATGATCAGTAGCGATGGACAGACTCCTTGGATCGTCTTCCGCTGCGGATCGGCTACGGAAATCTGTTGCTCCGAACTCAGATTCCTCTGCGGAATCATTGATGATGCTGATCTGACTGGTGATCGAGCGTCGGCTTTGTTGCTACTCTCCGTAGCAATAATCCTCTGCGGATTAATCGAAATCCTCTGCGGATTGATCGGAATCCTCTGCGGATTAATCGGCGATGCGCGAACTACGGTCTTCGGATGAACCTCTCTTTGATTCGGTTCTCCGGCGTCGATAGCAGCGGCGGCGTGGCTGCCTCGCCGCTCTAATACCATGTTGGAATAAAGACTACATGATGAAGCTATGGAGAGGAAGAGAGAATGGAAAGTGCAGAGAGGTTTATCTGTTCTGTTACCCAGAAGCTTGTACAGATAGGAGATATATATACATGGTGTAAGGGATGGAAACGGTTTAACAAGCTAGTGTAAAGACTTTAGTGCCTCTTTCTCTAGTGAGTGTATATCATCCTCCAACAAAACTGTATTGTTTTCTTGATCAGCCTGGATCTCCGACCACGCGACTTCCTTCAATTTTTTTTTCATACTCTGTGAGCCCCTTTGGCTTCCTCTCTTTCCTCCGTTTCCTTTCCTCATCCAACTTTAATTTCCACTGTTCTCTACACATCCAGTTGGTGCTAAGTAGCATCTCACAATGCAATATTCAGGTAATGATATGGAAAATGGTATTCATAGGTCCCGTTGAGAAACCTTATATGATTATCAATTATGAATACAAGTATGATGACTGATTGTGAATAATCTATTATCCATTACAAGTTACTTAGAAGTGTTGTACAATTTTTTGTCTATAATACTTGCCAAACATGTAGTAAAGTGGATTATTTAATCTATAATCTAATTAATTTGACAAAAACATAGAGAATTATAAGAGACACTTTGGTTGATCAATAATACGTCCCTTATAATGACACAATTTGAATATCATCAACCACAATTGCCTAAGGATTAAGCAGTTTATGCTGGTTTGGTGGTGTTTTGCAAGCTGGTTGATGGTGCCATATAATGAGGGAAGGTTTTGGCACGGTTGAATTTAAAGGCTCGGACCTCTTATATTTTGAAGTTTTTTTTTTTGTTTAGCTTGAGCTATCAATTGTTATGCCGTGGAACCGTGTCTACAAGGGATAGAGCCAGAAATTCTGTTGAGCGGGGACGAAGAAGCAGGGACGGGTCCATAAATTTTTTCGAGTGAAAGCGAAACATGAAAATAAAAGAGATAATTTGATAAAAAAAAATTATCCAAGAAATATAGGTATAAATATTGTTGGATATGAATGAAAAATAAAACACATCAAAATTTTATAAAAATATTCATAACAAAATATTTGAAACATAATTAATTTGAATAGAGAACACATTATAAATTACACACACGTCTCATTATTAATATAAAAGAATGTTATATATATATATATATATATATATATATATATATATATATATATATATGTATATGTTTAAGTTTAGGTGTGGATCTGTGGTTAAAGTGTGAACTTGTGCACTGCTATCATCCGTTAATTTTGTTTAGATTGACTTAGATCGACGCACAAGGCCGGTGGTGCACGGCCCAATATGTGCATCCGTATCACTGGATTGGTACCCGTGTAGGTGGCGTTTGTGTGTTTTACTTCTTCTTCGACTCTTCCACTCATTCGCGTTGTATTCCACTCGCGTCGGTCCGTCGAGCTCACTTCACTTCCGTGCTGT